TAGACAGAACCCGGAGGTGTGTGGAGGTGTTACCAGGTAGTTGATGATGTAGAAGCGGTCGTACAGGCGGTTGCTGGCGTTGATGCGGCGGTGAGCTTTCTTCCTCATGTGATCCTTCAGCGTGGTTTTGTCCCTGAAGTTTTTCTCACAGTACAAACACTGCAGACTGACGGGAGGACACACAGACCATCATCACATGTTGTTATTGTGGATATTAGTGACATTCAAAGGATAGAACACGTGTGCTGGTTTCATCTGTGTTCATGACTCTTACTCGTCCAGTTTGCTCTGCAGCGTGTCCAGAAACTGGTCGCAGTACACGATGTTGTCCGGCAGCCCGATGCTGAAGGAATGCTCTCTGGCCATGTGGTTCAGCAGAGACGACCTGGAACCACCACGGTGGAGTTTATTACGGGAAAACATTTTAGATTTCTTGTGAGGAGAATAAAATAAGTGAATAATGTTATAAAGTAGTTTCCTAAGTGACTGCGTTCAGTGCGAGACTCAGAAGCTTCTGACGAACCTGTTTCCGGTGAACTCGTCGCTGCAGAACATGCAGAGTCGACTGAAGCTGCTGTCGTCTCTCTCCTGCTGCTGCTGCTCCAGAACCTCCTCCTGGGGGACCAACAACAGCGTCAGAGAGCCACCACAGAAGAAGAAGAAGAAGAAGAAGAAGAAGAAGAAGAGCGGCACCACAGAAGAAGAAGGCTGGGATTGGGTGGATAAAAAGACTGAGTAAAGTTATATCTGTGACAGGAGTTCGTTGAACAGTGAAGATGATGCTCTGTGCTCGGCTCAGATGCTCACCAGTCTCTTCTGCTGCAGCTTCTCTCGGAGGGTCCGGTCCTCTGGAAGGACGTCACACAGCAGGAAGTAGTGCTCCTGCTTCTCTGTGACAACATTTAAACGTTTTACTTTGTTTAGAACTGCTTCTTAAGGAGGAAAGTCAAGATGTCTGTGTGTTAGAGCAGAGAAACGAGTAGTGCCTCTACTCCGTTTCTCAGTATTGTGACTCGACTACACGTTCAATCAGTGAAAACAAACAAACGGGTAATAAAACATATTTGTTTAACTCATCACATCGATACCAAAATAGATTAAAAATCAAATATTTCCATAAAGCAGAGCTGCTGTTGAAGAACTCGTGCATCCAAAGTTTAGAGGATGTTTGACGTGTTGGTAAGTTTGGATCCAGATCGTCTCAGGTCTCAGTGTATCGTCACATCTGGATTATTATTCTGCTGACTGTTGCACTTTTCTCTGTTGACTTTGAACTCACCGACCGGCCCGGTGGAGTTGGTCTTGATGACGCTGCAGAAATCTGTGAGTGGCTGCTCCAAGAACCTGCCCCTCCAGTAGGACGCGTACCTGACGGAGGACAGGAAGTGAGTCACGGAGGAGAAGATTTAAAGTCAAAGGACTCTTTAAAGAGAACTCCAGGAAGTGATCCTGAAAACATGACGTCTTCTGTGGATTTGAAGGAAATGACTGCAACTATTATTATTATTATTATAATTAGTCACAATTCTTTCACTATAACTGATTTTATTACCATTGTTATTCTACTATATCCACTATTACTAGTGGTCGTAATGTTTCTACCATTATTCACTACTCTCATGATATGAATCATTTCTGTCATAAGTATGTAACGCGTAACTTTATTATGTTGTTCATTCTTACTTTGGGAGGTCAGCGACCAGCTTGACGTCAGCAATGACCATCTTGTGCTGCAGCAGCAGGTGTTTGAGGAGGACGTCTGTCTGCTGCAGAGGGACGGACTCAGAGCAGAAGAGACACACCAGCAGCTCAGCGCCCAACGGCTGCAGACTGGGAGTGATGGAGCAGGAGGGGGGGTGCTCTGGGAAACACAGAGGCTCCAGTATGCTGTCCTGATCTGAGGGAGTTAACACACACACACACACACACACACACACACACACACACACACACACAGTTTATATGAGAGAGAACGTGCAGGCTGCTGGTTAGCCTGTTAGCATAGCCGGTTAGCTTCGCGCTAGTTAGCTTCTTTATGAACCACAGAGCGGATATTTGTTCATAGTTTTCTGTCTGACGGACTCTGAGTTTTATCTACACGTGAATCATCTTTGTTTTACACAAAACGTCTTATTTTAATCCTTAAAACCTTAAAATAAATCATCTCACCGTCTCTACTCCGGTCAGAGGCGGCCATCTTTGGTGTCACGTGTTCAAAACAGCGCAGAACGGACCAATCAGAGGCTGGGAGACGTAGGCATGCTGCGTTCACGGTCTCCATGTAAATTAAACATGTAATATGGTGCATTTAAGTGTTTTAAAACATTTGAAAACTCACTAGTTTGCTATTGAATTGATCTGATCTGTTTAAAACAAAAAACTTTTATTTATCAGAGATTAAGATGAGCACATAATTTAGTCCACATAATGGTATTAAAGCATGACGTTAACTCTATTAATTTGTTATTAATTTACTTAAATGTACCTACAAGTACTTAAATGTAAAAATACTCCATTACCAGTAAAAAGTCCTGTGTTAGTAAATATACATAATTATTACAAAGAAAAAGAAAGAAAGAACTCATTGTACAGAATGGCCCCTTTTGAAAGGATTGCATTATTTTTCTCATCTTCTAATAGTTTAGAATCACGTTCAAATTAAAATGTTATAATGTGAACCCAACACAACATTTCAACTAGATTTTTGATTTAAGGCCACAAGATCTGATAATGCTGGACCCCCTTGGGTGTTTTTAAGTGATAGAACCTCCTACGACTCCTCAGACTCTCAGACTCTCATTCTACAACATCAATAATGGTTTCAGTTTTTCTTTTGTTGCTCAGAAACCCTGTTTTGTACAAGGACAATACATTAACATGAATTGTACAATTATTCTATCATTTACATCTTATTGAAACAGTGGATCACTGTTCGGCCTTGATTCAGTGTTTTATCTCTGTGAGTAACATCTATTAGTTCCAGTTGATGAGCACTAGGTGGCGCCATCGTCTCAGTCTTCTTCCTCCTGTACGTTCTAGTTTTTCACTTGAATGTCAGTTAGTGTTATTTTGTTTCATTGAAGTTAAAACAATAAAATAAATGCAGACATATAAAGACAAATGATGAAATAAAAGAGAATAGATATTAGCAATTTTATGTATTGTCACATTTTTAATTCCATATTTCTCTATATATTTGTTGATACCATTTTTTTAAATATAACTATTTCTCTCTCTCTCTCTCGCTCTCTCTCTCTCTCTGTCTGTGTCCCCCCCCTCTCGTTGTGCTCCAGCAGTCCTCTCAGGTGAGTTCAGGTGCTGCATTATTCACACTGAACTCAGCGTCTCAAATTAAACCCTGGAGAGCAGTGAGGGGGAGACAGACAGACAGGATACGATGTGGACGGTCTGATTCAGACAGACAGGATAAGGATAACAGAATAAACAGAAGAAGTAGGAGAAGATGTAGAAGAAGAAGAAGAAGAAGAAGAAGAAGAAGAAGAGCCTCTTGGCCTGTTGGCTACCTTGACCCATGTGGGTGACTCCCACATGATGACATCGTTTGAGGCTCTGAACAGGACGAGCATCACAGGTGCTGAGCTGATGCTGTTGCTATGCAACAATTTCGTCGTTGCCGGCAGCATCCAGGGTGGGGGGGATGTCACCACGTTTGATTATATGAAGAGTACAGTACAGACACATGAAAGAGGAACAGGATGTAAAGTAAACCAATCACTAATCAGAGTTTAGACTGAACAGACAGCAGAGAGGATCAACAATCTGTGAGATGTGGAGTTTTAAAGTCTTTCTGTGTGTTTACGCTTTAAAGATGTATTGCTCGCTGTGATCGTTTCTCCTCACGCTGGCTGTGAAGTGATCACTTTGTAGACGGGAGGACAGAACACAGAAGAAGAGAGGCTCACGAATAGAGAGGATGTCGTTGTTTTTACTCTCTACTCTCTGGTAGAAGGATTCTGTCTGTAAAGCACTATAACTATATAGGCCTTTACACACCGAGGGAGAGACGAATAAACCACACAAAATACCAAAAATACAAAAAGACTCGCCTACAAATGTTCTGCATCAAAACGATTCACACTGATAACGACTCTGGAACGGGAGAGAAAATTTGTGTCATGTTTCCATCAATGCTGATTGGCACTAAAATACCGTAGACTGTAAATAAGAAGTGGACGTCATCGTCGTGACGTCACCCGTTGGTTTGTGGATGTTTTGAAGCCTCGAGTTTCCCATTTTGGCCGTCGCCATCTTGTTTTTTTTCAACCAGTGAACAGGAAGTGACCATATATGGACTGAGGAGGAGTGA